TAAAGAAAGACAAATGTAATGATCTAGCTAGAAAGAAGTTTTAAAGAAATATGACTCATATTTTCTTCAACAATCTAGTTTTCATTTGAAGCTCTTATTCCACTCAAAACTCATTGCCTTGGAGTCAGAACTGACTCACAGTTGACCTTCCAGTGAGTTTTCAGAGGCAGAAAAATGACATGAGAAGAGGTCACCCATCATTCTCTGGTGGAGCTGCTGGTGGATTTGAACCGCCTACCTTTGAGTTGGCAGCTCAACTCCTTACCTACTAGGCCACTAGTTGGAGTTATTAGTTACCACTGAGTTGACTACACTTATAGCCACCCTATGAATAGTAGATCCGAACCCTTTCCTTTATTGCACTGTCCTCACAATCTCCAACATGAACATACTCCAGCCTACTGTTAAAGACACACATTAGTCCATCTTATTGAAGGTCTTCCTCTCTTTCGCTGACCCTCCACCCTTTCCAGTGTGATGTCCTTTCCAAATACTGGTCTCTCCTGACAAGGTGCCAAAAGTGTGTGAGAAAAATGTTCACTATCCTTGCCTCTAAGGTGCACCTTGGTGGTACTTCCTCCAAAACAGACTTGCTTCCTCATATTCTACCAGGTGATGGAAACTCTATTGCAATCCATTATGAGTCCCTCCCCTTTCTGTTAACTGGCACACAGTACCGGAGTTTGGGACTACCCCCAGCGTGTGTGTGCGGGTTGGTGGAAGGAAAGTAGGGGAAGCAATGCCCTTAGTGTCTTCTCTGCGACCCTAACAGGGCAGGCACCAAGCAGTCTCATTACTCATCTACACAGGTGACCAGGGAGTTACCCTTCAGGCCTGCTCTCAATCCCTTCCTAGTCTGTTTCCCGCCCCCCAAGAAATAATGTTTCCTGACAACATGTCCAAAGTGTGTCAGATAGTTTCATCAGGCTTGCTTCTAAGGAGTACCCTGGTTGCACCTCCTCCGACAGAACAGGCACCAGAAGGAGATAAAAAATCATTATATCCAACAGCTCAAAATTCCTTTAGGTCACTTTCAGATATAAACAATATACTGAAGAATAAAATTAATAACAGACATATTACTTTGATGGTAAGGTTTTTCTTGTCCATTAAATTGAGCCATAACCATATAAAGTCTAACCCAAACTGGAAAAGTCTGCCAGAGCCTGGTCTATAGCTCTGTAAACTTCTCACCTGCTAGAAAAGGACAGCCATCGAACTTTTGGGTTTAGAGACTAAAGACCATAGTCTAAGGGGACAGTTAAGCCAACTGGCATAGAACACAATGTTCAATACTCTACTGTGGTACCAAATCACTTTTGCAGTTTTTTGTTTTGTTTTGCTTTAACTAGCTGAACACTCTGAGATCTGATTTCAGGGACACATGCAACCAGGAAGGAAGTGAGCTACCAAGCTGCTTGACAACCAAGTTTCACAGAGGAGGAAGTAATTGAAAAACCATCAAGATGAGAATTCAGGGTGTCTAATAACACACACTATGGAGCAGGGTTCAGAGCTGTTGTACACAGGGTCACTATGAAGTGCAAGCAACAACAACAAAAATCACAGTCACACACAAACACACACAAATCATGTTTTTTTAAAAAAAGTTTTTATTTTTCAACTACTTAGAAACACTAGAATATCAAAACTAACAATATACTTTGAAAAGAAATTTACAGCAGAAAGCACAATTGGATTATATACAAGGCTCATCCACAGGACGTGGCTCTGGGAGTACTGCCCACCTGTGAGGTTGCTGGAGTGGGCACATTGCCTCTCTACTAGCTGCCCATGCAGCTGCCCAGATGTCCGAGTGGCCAGGGTCTGCAAGGTCCCATTGACCCCTCCAAGTCTAGAGCCCAGCTGGAGCTGAGGCTTGAGGAGCTTTGGTCTGTGCACCTCCCCTCCGCCCCATGCTTGATTCCACTTGCTCCCCCACTGCAGGCTCCAGCAGCTCCCCCTCTAGTCCTCCTCCAGACCTCTGAACACAAGGTGCTGGGTGACAGTGTCAGCCGCAGCTGGAGGGAGGAGCAGACGTCCAGGTGCCCAGCATGGGGTAGGCCACACCAGGAGGCAAGAGAGACTCAGATGCAGAGTGATAAAACTGCCAGGCAAGTGATACAACAGCCTGCCAAGTGACTATGGGGGACAAGGGATAAAACAAAGCCATCATCAATCTCATCATTTTCAGAAAACCAGTCCCCTCTGGGGATAGGGAGAACACGATCAGAGAAGATTGAAAAGGGGGAGGAGGTGTGGAACTGAGTGTTTGTATTTAAAACAACAGCAACAGACTTGAAACACTTGTACATTAAAATGCATTAAAAGGGTCAACTAAACAGGTGTAACGAGAAGGAAAGGGGATGCGATCCAAACAAACAGCATTCTCCATGGGATGCAGCCCCACTTGAAAAGCAGGACAATGTTAAAAGAAGAGAACTCGCAGAGCAAGCGAAATCAAGAGATGCCTCTGTATCCAACCCCCCATCTGCTCTAAAACACCTCTGATGTGTGGCGTCAGAATCTGTGTGTGGGTCCGGAGTCACAGCAGTGCCTAATGTTGCTTCACGTCCTTGTAGGATAATATACCCCAAAATACTGTGCATCTATAAGATGTGTAACTTACTGCAGTTCACTGAACGCACCCATTCCGGGTGCTAACGAACTATCTTAAACTACACTGAGTAGCTGCTTGTTGCTACTGGGGAACGCTAAGTGCTTGTCAAAAGAATGAGGTAAGCTGTGTTCCTACCAAGGGGGGTGGGTACCCAACAAAAGAGCACTGCAGGTTCGTGCCCGCAATGTTTCTGAGCGTGTCTAGAAAAGTGAGAAGCCAGGAGGAATCTGCTATCTGATGTACTGTGAGCACCTTCAGACCAGAGCAAGTGCTTGTGGCCTCGTGGGTAAGGAGCTGCCAACCCAAAGGCTGGTGGTTTGAATCCAACAGCTGCTCTTGGGAGAGACAGGCCATCTCCTCCAATAGTCTCTAAAAACCCATTGGAGGGTCAGCCATGAGCCAGTTCTGACTTGACAGCAATGCATTGAGTTTTGGAAGCATACTGTTCACATTAGCTGTAATGAATATGCATTATCAACTCATTTTAACAATGAAGTACAAAATGAAGTCCAAAAGATTCACCGCTCGATAACTTACAAGCTACCGATGAGGCTAATAATTGTCTAATTAACGTAAGGGACATGAGACGGATTGACTCAGTGACTAGGGTAATGGGGGTAAATGTGTCAGAGACAGTGACTGGTTGGCTCAAGACAGCAGGATTCAGAGCTGGTATACATAGGGTCACTGTGAGTCACAAGCAGCTCAATGGCATATAACCAATAACAAGAGATACCAATCAAAATTCACCACCATTGAATTGAAATCTACTCACAGCTGACCTTCCTACAGGTTTTGAGAGGCTGTCAATGCATGGGACGAGAACAAATGCAGTAAGCATTTAATAAACGTTTGTTGAGTGGGTGAAAATACATAGGCAGTTAGGACTACCAATTATCTCTGAGCTGCCAAGTTTGGCTGAGACAGAAAACAAGCAAACTATTTTGCAACATGAGAACCTATTAGAACACCATCATCACAGTCAGAATATCTGAACTTTTTTCAAAACAAACAACAAAAGTGATCAGATTTACTTAAGCAAGTAGAGATCTTTGTGATTCCATTAAAAACAAAACAAAACAAAACAACCCACCAATCCAACAACATGTTTAGGAAAAGCCCAGGAATTTGAAGGTCCTGACAAACCATCAGAGGCATGAGGAAGCATATAATATACAAACATAAGCAAAAACAGCCCACTGATTCTGCAATTATGCAACAAGTTTGAGTCCTGTCATCACTTTTCCTCACAGAGTTCACCAATTTGTCAAACTCTGGCTCCTCCCCTGTGGTGTTGCCATGGAGAGCTAACTGAAGCCAAACAAAACAGGCAGGGATTTATCACTTGAGTTTCAAAAAATGAATTTTAGTACTCGGGCTGTTGATTTTCTTCAAGGAAAATATTTTAACAATAATTTATGAACAATGAGAGACTAAAAGAAAAACAAGAGTATCTTGACAAGCCATCACTACAGTGCAGGATCAATGAAGATGTCCCTCCCCAAACCAAAAATCAGCCCACTATTGAGTTGAACTGACTCAAGACGATTCTCCATTGGGTTTCAGAGGCCATAAATCTCTATGGGAGGAGAGTGACCTTAGGAGATCTTTCAAACTGGTGGTTTCAAACTGCTAACCAATCAAAGAGTCCCACCAAACGGTAGCTCCAATGCTTTTCGGTTTAAGAGAATAGCGATAGAGTCAGTCTAGCACCTGGTTTCCAGGAGAGCCCAAAGAAAGCAAGCAAGTGGGAGACACCATGAGCAGGGTGGGGGGGAAAGGCCCCGCCTTCCTCCCAGATGAGAGCTTCTCGCTGGGGGAGATCTTGGGGTGGGCTGGGTAAGATGGACCAGTTTCTTGGTTCAACATTATCTGGGTCAAAAGCTTCAGTTCCTTCTATTAGCAAATATTTTTCCCAAAGGAACACAGCTTCTACATATATTAGTAAATTTCTTCTGTGAACAAAAGCCTCAAATTTAGAATTTACTTCCCTGAGAAATGGTACAACACTAATGTTAGAAGTCAATACTGAAGCACAAGTTTTCTCAGTCTTCAAGCAAGAAGTAGCCAACAGCAGACAGCAAGCAAGTCAACACAGTGCCTGCTCGACACTCACTGTTCTCATCAATGATGCAAATCTACAGTGGACTGACATCAACCTGCAACCGTGTTGGAAGACCTCCACTCCGTCACAATAAGGAGTTCTTCAGCAGTTCAGACGCTCCAGCTTTTCTAGATATATGCTAGTTGAGGTCTCAGCAGCTGCTCACCTGAGGCTCCATTTCCAAATTCATCAAAAGGAAGAGTGGGGATCAGCCAGCCATACTTTGTGTAAGTGAGATATTTACAAGGAAGCAAAAGTTTCTTGTCTTGAAACAGTTCATTCTTGAATGGAAGAGTGGCGTATGGACCTGTGATAGTCTTCTGGGCTGCTGATGTGTTCAGGTAAGTCATAGCCTCTCAGGAAATGTCCACTGTTTTGTTGAGCGAAATAGAACAGCTGTCTGGCGAATAGAGGCTCAACCTTGACAAGAGATTTGAAAAGACATTACCGAGATATTCTTTCGAACCTTCTGCAGTTAGTTAACTTATCATGTGAAAAGTCTAAATATTTTATAATACAGTAAAAATAAATACAAAGTTAAATGTTATAAAACATCAAAGCATTTTATATCTGGAGCTACCTGAAGAACTAATTTTATGTTAGTATATATATATATATATATACCTAGAAACAGAATCTGCTTGTTTGTGCTTTGCTTGAAATGAAAATAAAGACAGTACAGTTTAAAGACGATGGTGCACCTTATCCAAGTCATGGTATTTTTCAATTGCTTCCTATGCATCTGAAAGTCAGATAATGAATAAGGAAGACAAAAGAAAAATCAATGCTTTTCAATTGTGCTGTTGGAGAATTATACCAAATATTTCATGGACTGCCAAAAGAACAAATAAATCTGATAGTGGGATTTGGTCTTACACACTTTGGGCATGTTGTTTGGAGGAGCTAGTCCTTTTGGGGATAAAGCACCCAAACCAAAACATCATGCTGGGAAAGGTAGAGGGTTAAAGAAAGAGAGGAAAACTCTCAAGAAGATGGCTTAATCCTGCCACAGTGTATGTCAGAAATAATGAGGACTGTGCAGAGTAGGACTAGGTTTAGATCTGTTGGTCACTTGAAAGCACCTAAGAACTTTTAAATCAGCAATCAGTTGAAATTTACATTTAAGGTAGATTGAAAAAAAATGTAGGGGAAATTATCAAATTAATGTGTGAAGTATAGGGGTTTTTTCCATAACTGCACTTAGATAAGGATATGAGACTTATCGCCAAGGTTTAAGATTCCTAGATCAAGGGAATGATTTCTAAACCCAAGAATGAAACAAAAAAGCATGTCCACAAAATTGCTTTTGTGGAAAGAGAAAAGCTAACCAATCCCAAATTTATCTGATATGGTTGGTTATACATTAGACCACTGCAGAAAAAAAAAAAAATCATTCATCTTTCTGTAATTAGCTTTTTTTTTTAAATTCACAATCTCTGTGAAAACAAAACACCAGTATTCCTCAGCAATTGTGCTATTTATATTGAGACATCCCTCAGAGGTAGGCTTTCTCACATGCCTGAAATGAATTCAATCCAACCAATTAAGAGTGATAATCAATTAGAATCACTGGGAATGTTTTCAGAGAAGCCTTGCCTGAGGAACCCAAACTCATATAAGTTAGAGGAGAGCTTTTAATTACAAAAACAGACTTAAAATGAGGCTGACGTAGGCATTTATTATTGACTTCTTAAGTGATACTTAACAGTTCTATGTAAACTGGACAGCATTTATGAGAAAACTCTACGAGATTATACTTTTTTTGTTGGTTGGTTGGTTGGTTGGTTGGTTGGTCTCTAAAAAAGGAAGAAGTGAAGGAAATTGTGAGTTTGTTTTCAAATTCAGTTTTTAATAAGAAAATTCATTAGCTAAAATCAGAGCTGAATTTCTTCATCTGGTGTAATTATTTCTTATCTATTCCTACTCACCGATATGACTATTTGGGAGCTCTGGAGGCCTAATCAGTAGAGAGTTGCAATACCAACTCAAAGACAGGTGGTTCGAATCCATCAGCTCTGAGAGAGAAAGATGGGCAATCTCCCGTACGATACAATCTACTGCCATGGTGGAAGTATGGGTTGGTTCTGACATGACAACAATGAGAAATGAGAAGTGCCCAGTAATTCTATTTTCTTCTTTTTTTTTTCTTGTTGTGTACCGTCAAATTGGATCTGACTGGCACAGGAGGAAATTGCCCCTCCTTCTCCAGGGGAGCATCTGGTGGATTTGAACTGTGCACATTTGGTATTGAAGTGCAGCTTCTTGGCACTAGGCCACCAGAGCTCCCATTGCCTATTAATTATTTACACATTAAGGCAAACTTTAGAAATCCAAAATTATTTAGTATTCATGACTATGTTCTATGGTGAACTATTTATAAGTATTTCTTTTTTAATGAAAAAAAGTTTATTTGCCATAGTTTAATATATCTTAAACAGTCTCAGAGATTGCTACAGTTAAGCATCAGTTCTATTAAACAGATAGAGCTGCTTCTAGCTGACAAACTGTTGGTTTCTAGCAATTAAACAAAGAGCCCTGCTGGCATTGAGCAGAGCGTGTTATACTGCTAACAAAGAGGCCATCGGTTTGAATTTGCCAGCTACTCTGAGGAAGGGAGATGAGCCATCTCCTCCCAGAAATATTTACAGTCTCATTAGTCCAGGGGAGGGTTGTGATGAGGTGAGTTTTGAGAATTCAGAAAGAAAAGCAGACTAGGGAAATGGGAGGATATAAAATACACAAATGAAGACACAATTTCCTAAATGCGAAATGTTTTTATCCTCCCCCATCAAACTGAGGTCAGCTGGGTCACATTTTAAAAGGGATATTCAATGTGGGGAATTTGATAAAAAGCATATTTAGCAGCAATGATTTTAAATCTTTACAAAATGGGTACATGGGAATGTCCATCAAAAGGACAAAAGGATGGACCCTGGAAGCAGTTATTCTCAGACCCCTGCCCTAGCAGGTTCTGTAGGGAGGAGGGAGCGAGCTGTGTGCTGAACACTGCAGGGGTGAGGCCAGATCTGGGCACCTGACACTCAATCCTGAAGGAGGACTTTCCTCACTGGGCCTCTGCCCACAGTCCAGTCGAGCATCAGACAGAATGGGCATGGAAGGGACACTCACGTGGGCAGTGATGAGCTTCCTCTGCCTCTGTGGGTCTGGGAACTCCTCTCCGAAGCACAGGGTCACCTGGAACCGTGGTAGGGAGCGGCCGTGATGCGCAAATGCCTGAAGTTCTGAGAAAACCCACAGAAGGAGAGTCAGTGTCAGAGACCCATCACCAAATACCCCAGTTACCGTTCAGGGCAGTCTCTGAAGACCAGAGGGCAGTGTGGTCTTCACTTCTTGTTCCCCTCAAACTGTGGTACAAAATTGCACAGATAAGTTCCCAACTTCCATTTAATTCTTAGGGGCACAGAACTGAGAAAATACAAACACTGCTTTAGAGCACTGAACTGATGAGGATGAAAAAGAGGAGCAGAATGGAGTGAAGGAGGGAGAGGAAAGCCATGTGGAGGCCAAAGCACAATGTATACAAAGAAAAAGAAAATATCCATTTAACAAAATCAGAATTTTCTGGAATGTTTCAGGATTATTTTTAAACCCTCATCCCAAACCACTGATCCCACATAACCCAGATTCCAGATGACTTCAAGAATCAGGGCACCACAGAGAATGTTCTCATTGAAGTGACTTCGCGAACAGTTAGTTACTCCCAGCAGCACACATGACAGGGCTCTTCACCCATCTTCTAGGACAGAAGATGGTTTGAGATGGGGACAGTGAAGTGCCATCCCACGGCCAGAACCCCACCCTAGGGACCATCTCACCATCAGCACCCCATCCTAGGGACCTCCATCAGAGGTTGAGACATTGCTGGGAGATCAGTGCTAAGTCACGTCAATGTCCCTGAACCCGCACTCAAGAAGACATAAGGTGAGCAATTCTGGCTCTTTCTGCAGAAGGAAATGCCACGTCCCCAAAGAAACAGCTTACACAGTAGCTGCTCAAGTTTCTATAAAACAGCAGTGTGACACATCTTTATCAGATACATATTCTCTTGGGAAGCCTTTTGGGGCTGTCCCCTGCAGTCTGCGAATCCTGAATGGGTAGATATCAAAGATTTCCACTATCCTCCCCAACTGAAGTCAAGTTTCTAGCTAACTCACTTGAGTATCTGACTTCCTGCTAAGTTCTTCCAGTATTAAAGTCAGACCACGCACTTCTTCAGAATGTATAAAATCATCCACAGCCCCAGTGGTTTGAGGCCATGCCAACCACGCTGAGGTGAGTGGCAAGCAAGAGAATGAGGAATTCAGTGAGAATTCTTCACCACCCGGCTGCTGGCCTGCCAGGGGCAATTTCCAAGTCCACAGGGTCCTCCCTGAATCTCAGTGAACATTTTAGGCAAAGGTTATAGAGGAAGAAAAGAACACCCTGCCACACCACCTGTGTCCCCTGCACCATGGAGCCCCATGGCTAGGACTCGAAATGATAGCTACAGTTAGAATGGGAGGATGGTCCTATTCTAAAAATGTGAATAGTGAGAGAATCTCAGGAAAGTAAGAGTCATATTCCTGGGGTGTCTCCACAAAAGCCCGAAGACCTGAGACACAGAGACTTGCTTTCTGGGGACGCTTGTTCTCTGTAGGATTATCCTGCAAGATGTGAGACCACTCAGGCTCCACCAGTCAGTGCAACCCAGACTGGGTGCCCTGTGCTCCGCAGGCCCTCCCAAGGCCTTTCCTCAGCACCACCAGGTTCATAGAGAAGGCACTGCTGACTGGTGCCTGGCGGCTCTCAGAACCATCCCTCAAAGCTGCACTCCTGTTGCTCGTCAGGAGTAGGAAGTCAGTTAGTTGAGGACACGTGCTCGGCACACCAACAGAGGACGCGGATGAGCTTTAGAAAATGTACACTTAAGCCTAATAAGCAAAGCAAATGTTGATGCTTGATGTTCTTATTCCGAAGCAGATTCAGCAGCATCGTCAGGGAAAGAGGCTGCACCTGAGAAGCCTTGGGTGTACCTAAAGGAAGAACTCACTGGAGAAGATGTGAAGGAAGAGGAATAGGAAGGAGACCTGGCAACGTGCTGGTGGAAGTCTTGGATTGCTAGACAACAAGATCAATACTCCAGAAAAAGCTTCAAACAAGGCCACATCCAGTGTCGTCACAAAAGCCAGTCCAGGGCTAAAAGCCATAGTTTTAAAATAAACACTGGGGTGGGGGTGGGGGAATGTACTGAGAAAATTATTTGAAACTTTCATATCATTCAGATGCCTCAAGCATTCTCATATTTTCCCTCTGCAAAATCAGTTCAGAACACTCCACCTTTGGTTCCACATGCTGTAAGGTGTTTTGCAAAAGGATGACAGATCTCATAACTAAGAACGTGAATAATAATAGACTTTTGACTTTTACCAGTTCTTTAGGAATCTTAAAATACTGTAAACATCAACAGATAACACGTTCTGAGGTCACACTGCTGGTAAGAGGGAACTTTATTAATCAATGCCTATTTGCTGAGAAATGGGATTTACAAAGCTATCCTAGGAAGCTATTCATCTGAGCGATCTCATCTGGATGTCTATTTCCATCTCTTCCCAGGAGGAAGGCAGCAGAAGGAGGTGGTGGCTGAATGGAATGGACCAGAAAAGACTCAAGAGCTCAGAAGGGAATAGACCAAAGATTGCTGGCTCGTGCCTTACCCACCTCCATTCTCCCTTGGATCACAAACCACGGGCTTTCCAACTACCTACATAGGTGCCAAAGCTGAGCCATAACAAGGGAAGACAGAAGAGTTGATGATTTCATTTGAACTATGGCACTGAGAAATGCACTCTGACAAGACTGTGGACTGTAAGGAACACAACAAATAAGACTTGAAGAAACGCAACCACAATGCTCCCCAGAAGACTTTGTCTGCTTACTCTGGGCATGTGATTAGTACAAATCAACCAGTGGGGCAAAAACCTGTATGCTTACATAGAATCAGGGAAAAGTTAGCTTCAGTGACAAGTAGGGAGCCCTGGTACTGTAAGGAGCTGAACTGCCAACCCAAGGACAGCCAGTTCGACTCTATGCTGCTCAACAGGAGAAAAACAGGCAATGTCCACCTCCTGTGAGATTCACAGTGTCTGAAAACCTGCTGGAGAGTCACGTATGAGTCAATTATAACTCGACGGCACACAACAACACTTGATACAACAATGAACTCAACTACACCAACAATCATAAATATAGCACAATAACTGGTTGACGTTATGTTGTTATCCGTAAGGTTGCCCCAGTCAGAGAAGATGTGAGAAAAACTGCTGCTTTTGAGTCAAAGCAACCAAGACAGACAAGTACTGAGGTCCTCAGCAAGGGGGCAGGGAGGCGCTCTACCTGACAAGAACTGCTGTGTATCGAAAAGCTTGCAGGTCTGGTCTCTCTCCAGCTTGTTGGGTCGGTCACTGCACAGGGCCAGGGGCCCATCCCAGTAGATCCTGCTCTGGCACAGTCTCTTGGCATAGAGCCCATCAGGGGCCATCCAGAGGACCACACCCCTCTCCAGGTGACTCAGCAATTTCTCAATATTTTTTCTTTGGCCACTGTCCTCCGGGTAGGGGAAGAGAACCTGGTCCATGTTGCTGACGTCAAAAGGATGCCCATGCGAGATTCTGCAGCCTTCAGGGCTTGTAGTGGTCAACTCCTTCACCAACATCTCCCGGTAGTACAAGCAGATGTGAAGTCGGCAATCTAGACAGAGAGCTCACATTAGTGCTGACAAAGACAGAGGACTGCATCTCCTTCAATGATCACCACCAAGACAGTGCACACCTTGTAAAGCATTAGTGAGTACCCAACACCCCACAGAACAACACCAGAGAACACCTTATAGAACTCTAGTGAACACCAAACACCCCACAAATTACCACCAGACAGAGCATACCTCGTAGAACACTGATGGTTACTGAACACCCCACAGATCACCACCAGACAGAACACACGTCGTAGAACACTAGTGAATACTGAACACCCCACAGATCACCACTAGACAGCACAAACCTCACAGAACACTAGTGGATAACAAACCCCCTGTGGACAAACACCATCAGACAGAACACGCCTTGTAAAATATTAGTGAATATTGAACACCCTACACATCACCACCAGAAAAAGTACACCTTGTGGAATATTAATGGATCCTGACTATCCCATGGGCAGCCAGAACACACAAGTCTACATGGAGGAAGGTCAACCAGGTGCGCCTTAGAGGGAAGGACGGGGACATTTCCTATCACATACTTGTCAGAAGGGGACAGTTCTTGGAGAGGGACATCATACTGGGAAAGGTGGAAGGTCAGGGAAAGAGAAATGGATTGGCATAGTAACTCAAACAATGGGCTTGCTGAGGATGGCGTGGGATAGGACAAAATTCTGACTTCTTGATCATAAATGTTGCTTTTGAGTTATAGTCAACTCAACAGTACCTAACAACAACAAAAGTATTACACAATGTTCTGTGAAGAAATCAGAAGCTCCCTGGCCACCACAGTCGACACAAAAAATAGACCTCATTAGCTTTTTCTAGCACAGTATTTTCCTAATTTATATGGCCATGAACTCTCAGGGAGGTAGCATACCTTTTATTAAACTATATTCTATGTAAAAGATTTAACTACATTAGAGATAAGCACTGATAAACCCACTTAGTCACTTAAGAACTTACTAAAAAAATTACTGACAACATGAGTCTTCTAAAATGCTTTAGTGCTAAGACATACAGCACTGAAGAATTCTTTTTTACACATGACACTACATTTCAGTTTTGAAGGAAGTAAACCCTAAGTTTAGTTTCTATTAACAAAATGAGTACAACAGTGTTCATAAAATAAGTGTGTCCTCATATCTGAAATCACCCTAAAATAATAATATCATTTAGGACAAAAAATAATAGTATATATGTAAGTGCGTATACAGTGAAATTTAGAAAGGACAGACACCGCTTGGAAGCAGGAGTGGCATCCACTTCCTAAATAACATGCCTCTGGAAACTCTATGAACTTTGATAAATGTCGATAGTTGTAGAGGGGCTTCAGGCCTTTTATTCATGGGGTCGCCATGAGTCGTGCTCGACCCAAAGGCAATCAACAACACCACCACCACCTTCACAGTGGTGATCTCTGTTTTTTGTTATCCTCATTTTGAATTCCATTTTCTACCCTGAATATTAACTACTTTCATCATTAAATGAATTCTTTTTTTTTCAGGTATAACAAAAACACTTTTTATTGACTTTTTAAAAATTAAAATTAGTTGTTTCATTAAATGAATTCTTATGGGTAGGAAGGAGTCAATGAGAAAAAAAATTCTTGGAATCAACATTTTATACAAAGTCTGTTGAATCTTGTCAAAGTGTGTGTCTAAGTTTGACAATAAACCTGAGAATGATGTTTTAAAAACTATTAAAAGGGATGCATTAATTGCTAAAAATTGTGCTTATTTAAGAAACTTATTTAGTTTATCAGTGGTCCTCAGGGATAAAGGTAAGCCTACAGGCATCTTCTAAACTGTATGTGATGGCCAGCATCTTAAATATCCTTCCCAACCCTCCAAAATGGCATGGGAATTAATAGCTAAGGGAAAACTCACTTTTCTAGTACTCTATGCTCAAAGACAGTAATTAGTCCATATTACAAATGAGAAAAACAACAAAAAAAAAGTGAAAACAAAACAAAAAACCAGAAAGAGAGCGATCCATGAAATCCTCTTAGTACTCGGTGGCAGGTTTTGAGCCTTGCACAGCCCACATTGTCTCAAGCCTCCATTCGGCTGAGGTGGTTTCGTGGGTGAGGAGTGGGGGTTGGCCATTCGAGGTGACTCTCAGGGCAGGTTTCATTTCACTTAATGTCACCAGAAATCATGAGGTCACAGTGACAGAAACAGCTGTTTATTTCCTATTCTTCAGGCACCCACACAAGCCCTACGTGTTCAAGAAAAGGGTTTGAAAGTTTCTAGAAACAAGCCCCAGCCTACTGCTGTGAAATCGGTCCTCCCCAACAGCATTCTCAGTCCTTCATGGACAGCAGAGTCACGTAGTCAGGACTCTGAAATCAGAAAGAGCCAACTCTGGTACAGAAAGAATACAACTCCGGTTTTCCGTGGGCAGGCAAAATGCTGACGGCTCTTGTCTCTCTAAAACCTTCAGGCTGATTATTTCATGTATAAGGGAATTCTGGTGGCCTAGTAGGTGAGGAGTTGTAATGTCACCCCAAAGGCGAGGGTATGAATCTACCAGCTGCTGTTCAGAGGAGAGATAGGCAGCCTCTTCCTCTGTAATTCAGAGTCTCTGAAAACCTGCTGGCTGGGCAGCAATGTGTTAGTTCTGACACAAGGGCAATGAACAACAGCATCACTAGGTTTTAATGAGGGCAGGGTAAGGGGAGAATTCTGAACTTCAGCTATTCCTTTATAATACAGAATACAAATCCTATTTTAAAATAATCTATTTCATGCTTTAATATACTTCATACAGCAAATATGCTTAATGTACCTTGAGGCATCCTCCTTGGCAGAGCATCTGAAATTAACCTCATCAAAATAGTTCCAATCTCTGCAGTGCAGGGATTCTTTCAGAACTAGAAGTCAAATTGAATTTATATTTGTCTGAACAACATCTCAGGGTTCACTGAAGACTGCTGCCTGTTACCATTAGGCACTTAAAAGCTACAAATAGAAAGAGGCCAGCGACGTGTAGCTACACCCAGAAGGATGACAATTTGTTGGATGAGTTGCTTTTGTAAGAAATTAAAATTCATGTTAGTGTCCTAACTGAAGCGGGGCCCTTCTGGGCATAAAGAAACTCAAAATTCAAACTCCAACTCTTGCTGTCAAGTCTACTCCCACCCATATCCCCCCCCCGCCCCCTTTTGGATTTCTAAGACTGTTAAGTTGCAATGGGAGGAGAATGCCCATTTTATCCTGAGGAGCAGCTGGTGGGTTCGACTCACTAGAAATGCTTGACCTTCAGGTTAGCAACTTTAACTTGCCATTGACCATACTATCAAAGAACTTCAGCAAACGTAACTGTACTATTGATTTGTTACCGGGCATTGAGAGCAATACCAACAGAGAATTGAAAGAGACTCAAACCAAACTCTCATTTTCTCATTATCATTGAGGAGGGACCGACTCAGAACTGACCCTCTAGCAGGTTCTCAGAGACAGTGAATCACACAGAAGACTGCTCATCTTTCTCCCACAGAGCAGCGGGCTGGTTTGAACTTCCCATCTCTGGGTTGGCAATGCAACTCCTTATGCACTAGGCAGACAGAACTTCCTCAGCACAAACTAGTGTTTGGAAATGCATCAGAATCATAGACTGTTTATGACAGGTATGTATAATAAGGATACTGTGGAGCTTTAGGACATGGGGACACCTGCTCCAGGCTAGCAGGCAGTGTCGCTGTGCCCAGGGACACCCCATCCAACACATCTGAAGACCCCACAGGCCAAGTGTGTCCAATGCCTAAGGTCCTTGTGCTCATGGGACGTTCTCCCCAACTGCCTGCAGATGCATCCAGGGAGGAGGGCAGGGAGCTCGTGTGGGTGTGCATCTTGGGACGCGGCACTCACCTGAGAGCGCCAAGGCTTCAGCAGACCTTATGCTTGGCTCTATCGGGATTCCAGGGGCCTGGGACTCAGGTGGGGCACAAGCATAAAAGGTTCCTGTTACCTGGCAACCTGCATTTGCAAATGAAAATCAAATAATATCTTAACAGAGAGCTCACACCATTGGGGAGTGTTTGCCCTGTGCTGAGGAGGAGCACCCCTAATGCACATCCACTTGTACGTGCCCACTTTGCCTGCCCAGGCCCACCGCACTCCAGGCTTCATGGTGTACAGAACGCTGGGGTGAGGTAAGGGCAGGTGCCATCTACGTTTGGAGAAGCCAGAGCAGGTGGAAGCAGAAGCAAGCTGTTCTGTTCATAGAACATCTGCTTTGGAGAAACTACAGCCTGTCTCCTTGGGGAATAAGTGAGGAATCATGGGCTCCAAGGAATGAGAGACTCACTCCACCCAGCTCATGCACAGCAGAGTACAGACTACCAAGTTTGGTTTAAAAACACTTTTTGTTCACATATACTTTGCTTGCCATTTGCAGGCACAGGAGAAAACGAAAGTTCTTGCTGGCACCACAACTGGTATAGTGTATGCCTTCAGGAAATGCTCACAACAGCCATTAATGTCAACATTAATCGAGAAGGATTATGCAGTAGACCTAACTTTACTACTGTTTCATTTGGTGCTAGCCATGTTCCTATATATTTCTAATCATTCCATCCATTTGGACAATTCTAAACTGTTCATCTTCATGAAAGTTATTGCAGGTCAACAACATGGTGTGCGATCTAGGTCTGTATTTCAAAATGAGTTAACTATTTGCTAATTTCTTTACTATTATATAGAAATTAGCCCTTCTTGCAAAGCACTCTTGAAAAGCTAATACAATTGATTTTGAGCTTTTTGTAAACACATCACAATAAAACAACAGAATGATACTTATCAAATGATAAGTCCAAAATACGCTCAATATTCTTCATTCAGAGTAAGAGGGCTGGATCAAAGGAACAACTATACCTAGAACTCCTGGAAGGGTCAATGTGCTGATGTGTCCTGAAATGTTTGCTTATCCTATGTGAGACGCACCTTGTGAAATTGCTCTACACGTAAACAAATTATACTTTTGTGGAGAGATATCATACAATGTCTGAGGCAGAGGATATGCCACCACTTCTCATCAGAAGGACCCAGTCTCCTTGGGACTCAACAGTATGCACCATGGGCACCTTCAGAAGTCATATTCTCTTGTGTTTATCGTTTCTTTCTGATATCAAGAACAATCACAAAGGACACGCCATCTTTGCTCAAGAGAATAATATATTCTCAATGATCTTAACATCCCTTCAGAAATGGGGTGTGGACATAGCTGTGGTATGGCCATTTTACAGATGGCAAAATGGAAACCAGTGAAAAAGAGTGTGTGGTCCTCAGTATCAAGTGACAACCCAGGAGGAAAGCCAGCCCAAATCCATCACTTAGTGCCCAAGATGAAAAACAAAATTTGTGACTCATACACAGGCTGAAAAAAAATTAACTTATTAATCAGATAATGGAAAAAAAATAAACCACTAGATTGATGCCTTTGGTGTAAAGTGGAGGATTTGACTTTGGACATAGGAAAATGGAAACCTTTGCCATCTGCTTCAAAGGCGGGTGAGCTGGATTTTAACTATACAGACTAATGAGGACAGACCACAGCCTCATGGTGGTAACTGAGAAACCCCAGAGATTAAGCCTCCAAGATCCTTACCATTTTCACAAGTGGGGCCCTGCCAGTGATGGCTTCGGGGCCCAAAAGTGACAGGGCACTGGTAGGGGATTTCTGGGTGTGGCTGCTCGGGAACATAGTCTCTCCAGCTTCGGTCATGGGGCGGCATCATGTAGTTATGGACCTGTGAAGAGAACATGAGGCCTGAGCTAAGGTGAAGAGCAACCCACTCTGCAGACAGCCACTGGAGGAAGGCTTTCATAGCCTGCCAGAGTCCTCGAGGGGTCTGGTATTCTGCTGCCAATAAAAGAAATTTATCATCCCAAAAGACACTAGAGCGAGCCGCTCATCGCGGTAGGTGGAAATGAGCCATGGCATATCAAAAACACAATCAACACACTGTTGCCAAGCAGTGATTCATGTAAAGCGTTGTCATATGGTTACATCTGGCACCAGAAACACGCAGTAAAAACGCCCTCCTTTCACCCACCAAAGTGAATGAGACAGAGATGTAATTCACTTAGGCCATGCTGAGGAGGTCAGCTGCCCTGTGGTTTCACATGACAGCGCTGCTTCCAAACTTTCTCACTTTAACAGAACGTCCGTTTCCCAGCAGATTCTGGGGACAGGAGGAATGTGTTTATTAGACAGCCACCTCCAATTGTCCCCTAAGTGGAACTACTTGGAAAGTGAGATATTCGCTCAGTGACCAAGAGAGGTTTTTGTCTGTTTTACTACAGCTCTGGCGGCCTAGGTAGGAGTAGGGAGTTGAGCTGCCAACCCAAAGGCAGAGTCTCTCTGGCAGTTCAAATCTACCAGCTGCTCTGAGGGGAGAGGACAGGCAATATTCTCCTAGGAGATGTACAGCCCGTGAAAACCCACTGCAGGGCTGGTCAGCTATGAGTCAGTTCTGACTCTATGCCAATGAGTTGAATGAGGTTACGTCATAACAAAAACACTGTGTCACTGGATTGTGCGCTTGTTCATCCTCACCATGCACTCTCCCCTGCCCCCACCCCCGAAGCTTTGTGTCCCTGTCTGTACCTGAGAAGGCAGTGAAGGGTAAGGAGTCGCCATGGTATACGGGTGGCTCATGGCCATCTGGGGGTCCTCCAGGGTGAGCTGCTTTGCTCCTAAGAGGTTGAAAAAAGGGAGATGACATAGTATGAAAAAAGGAACAATCAAACGCCAAGTCTTGGAGAAAGACAAACCTGAGAATGTAATTCCTAGAATACAAACTGTTGACAAATACCATTTTCAGAAGTTGACTCAGGCAAAGCTTTGCTCTGCTATTACTCTATGTCTTTGAGCAATGATTCTATAGAGCAGAGTGGACACAGAATGTGTGGACTCCCTCTGTGACCTGTGGGACACCAGCCCTGGGAGTGCAGAGCAACGATTTCCCAAGAGGAGTGAGGAGTACAGCTATCTGTGCAGGGTGCTAGGAACAAGGAGTGAGGACGTCACTCTCACGTACAGTCATGATCTGGAGCTGAAGGATCTAGGAATTGGAGTTTTAATGAACCTTCAGCAATTCTTTCCTCTCTAAAATAGGACCTTTCTTTTCAGTTGAGTGCTGAGTGGTTTGTTTGAACATGTCTGGTACCTCCACTGATTACAAAGAGAACATGGTGGCACTGAGGGAATGGACCCCAATGGTGCCATCGAGAGCAACTGAAAAGAAATTGTTGATAACTTTGATGATATGAATTGAAAGGAATCCTTTTTCTGGGGTGTCTATGTTATGGTTTTGAGAAGCCTTCAGCTATTTAGCAGAGAGTGATTATTCCTTGCATTAAAGAGTATGATGTGCTTGCTCAAGCTCATTCAGGTACTGGCAAGAGAGCCACATTTGATAGTTCCATCCTGAAACAGTTGGAGATTGAGTTCAAGGAAACTCAAGCACTAGTATTGGCCTCTACCAGAGAATTGGCTCAACAGACCAAAAGGTAATTATGACATTTGGAGAATATATGGGAGCAACTTGTCACGCCTGTGTTGGTGGAGCCAATGTTTGACAGGAAATGCAAAACTACTGAAGCACTACATATTGTTGTTGGTACTCCAAGGAGAGCATTTGATATGTTAAGCGGGAGATATCTTTCTCCCAAATAGATCAAAATGTTTGTTTTGGATGAAGCAGATGAAATGTTGAATGGAGGGTTTAAGGATCAAACCTATGGGATTTAAAAAAAATTGAATCCAAGTATTCTCTACAATGTCATCTGATTTGTTAGAAGTGACTAAAAAGTTCATGAGTGATCCAATTAAAATTCTGGAGGAAAAAGAATTGATCCTTGAAGGAATCAAACCGTTTTATAGTAATGTTGAAAGAGAGGAAAAGAAGTTGGAGACACTTTGTGACTTGTATGAGACACAGATGATTACACAGGTTGCTGATACCTTTCTCAACACAAGGCACAAAGTGGACTAGCTGACTGAGGAAATGTATGCTAGAGACTTTAGTTTCTGCACAGCATAGTGACATGGACCAGAAGGAGAGAGATGTGATCATAAAGGCATTTCCATCAGGGTCAAGCAGAGTTCTGATTACCACTGACTTGTTGGCATGTGGGATTAATGTTCAATAAGTATCTTTGGTTACCAAATAATGAAAATTATATGCACACAATTGGCAGAGGGGGTCGATTTGGGAGGGAAAATGTGGCTATAAACTTTGTTACTGAAGAAGACAAGAGAATTTTTTGTGACCTTGAGACTTTCTATAATACTACAGTGGAAGAAATGCCAGTGAATGTGGCTGACCGTATTTAATTCCTGGGATGAGATAGTTCTGAATGTTGTGCTTGCTGCTGCTGAACAGGTGATCACAAAGTGCACTGTGCTTCTTTCTTTGGGAAAATTTTAATCTTGCCTCAATGTTCATAATGGATCAGAAATACAGATGTTGATAGCAACATGACTTTAGTCATGAGCTCTTGTGAGGAAAGTCACCTGCTTTATCCTCTTTAGAGTTAGACTGTTGGGGTGGGTATAAAAGATGGGGTCTGCTAAATCTTTCTTAGAAACTTATTTCCTAGTCATGTAGAAATGGTTGTATTAGATATGCTCTATCATTTAATAATGTATTTGTGAACTAAAGGTTTAAGTACTGTATTAAATCAGCCAATTATGTTAAACTAGCATAAGACAGTGTTGTTTCCATTTTTTTAGAAAGCACCTGAGTGCATTTTGTTCGGTATTTATTAAATAAAGTATTTAATAAGTATTAACTGTGAACTTGCCCCTGTTGCTAAGCCCTAGCAAGCAATTATATCCTAGGTAGGGTTAAACCGCCAGTAAAATTTCCATATTACACATGCCTTAATGAAGTTTGAATGTTAAATAAATTATATATTCACTTAGAAAAAAAGTATCTTTTATTACTGTAAATAGGAACAACATAGGGATTGTAATAGTAACCTACACATTGATTAATGACGAAAGACTGATAGATAAGTGGATAAGTGGAGCTTCTAAAGCATTTTTCCTTTTTTTTTTTTTTTAGTAATTTAGCCCCCCACACACACACACACACACACACACACACACACACACACACACGGAGGCCAAGAGATACTGGATTCTTAGGAGTTATCTCAGATGGATATCACAAGAAGTTTAACTTATGAACCAGAGAAAATAGGTAATGTGCCTGCAAGGTCTATCCATGCATCAGGAGGCAAGCAGACCAAATAAAAACATAAATACATGGAAATGAGAGAAGTGTTGCCCAGGATAAAACGCAGCTTTTCTACAGGGCAAGTCACATATGCTGAGACTCAAATTCAGGCCATCAGGCTGCCCTACCTTTTTTGGCTCCCTCAGGAACAATCCTGTACACTTTGTATGGATCTGAGATATCCAGCTGGCTCCTCTCAACCAATTCCTCAAAATCATTACTCTTGTTCAAAGCACATCGCAAGCGTGTCTTCCAGGTGGGAGGGTCTGGTTTATCAATGCCTTCTCTGAACTTTCCTTTAAACAGTGCCCAAGCCTAGTGGGGAATAATGTAGAGGGAATAAAGTTAAAACACAGGTCTTTAAAGGAATAATCTGGGAATTCTACTTTAATAACAGTACTTAGATTTACATGCTGTAGATATAATAGTTATGCAGAAGTTGGGACAGAAAGACAGCAGGTGGCTCCTAAGCTATGGCATTTCATTTGCAGCCTAACATGGTTGAGTGAAGACTCCCTTGTGATTTGAACGTCCTTGGGCATGAAAAAGGGATCTGACAAAAAGCAGGACCGGTTGCTGAGAACCCTGGGATGCGTTCTACCCACATAATGTTCCAAATGTGATTGTAACTAGGGATGGGGTGTTGTGAGGGTGGGAGGAACTCCCCACTACACTGCAGATGGTCAGAGGTTCTGAGGCCTCTGCAGGCAAAAGCCCAAAGGAAGTCCCCTTTCCCATTCAGCCCACAGGAGGCGGGGCCTAACGCACACTTCACTAGGCAAATAGCTAGGGGAGAAAAAGACATTCCCAGAAAGGGGGAACGATGCAGAGAGTGACCCCAAATGAAAGAGAGGTGGGTAGACCCAGAGAAAAACTCGGAAGAGGAAACCAGGAGAAAGAAAGAGACGCAAGGACACAAAAAGAGCGAAAAGGAACTAGGAAGAGAGGGGGTAAAGCAGAGCACAGCCGTTAGAGCTCTAGAGAAGGGGATGAAGACTCAAAGGCGAGCGGTGCGCACTCAAAGACGCAGAAAGTCTTAGGTGGAAAGAAGAGAGTTAGTGAAACTCGGGGCTGGAAAATGGGGACGCACTGAGAACTCTCTCTGCATCCTCAGGCTCAGTTCCCTGACCATTCCCCCGAGGCAAGCTCCAGAGATCCCTGACTCCCAGGAGACCCCTGGCCCGAGAGCTTGCAGCCTCGCTCCTCCCCTCTCCAAGGTCCCTGTGGGCGCAGACACCTGCGGGACGGTCCCACCCCAAGTGGTATCCCCACACCACCCCATCCGGCGTGACCTTGAAGAGCGCCGCATCTTCTTCGCGGTTGTAGTCCTGCTTGCCCGCGTGCTTCCAGGGGATGCGGAAGATGCTCTTGTCCTCGTTCTCCCACACGAGGCCCGGGTACTTGCCGCTGTCGATCTGGTCGATTAGCCACTGGCGGAGTTTCCCGTTGCCACAGCTCACGGAACTCATGCCGAACTCCCCGCGGCCGCCGCCCTCCAGGTTCATGCCCCGCGCGCGCTCCGGACGCTGTGGGCCAGAGGGGCGCGCAGGTCAGCCGCGCCGGCCTAGAGATGCCACCGCGACCACCACCGCGCAGCGGAGCTCGGCGCACCCCATTATGCTCAGAACTGGCAGGAAAGTCCCTTAGCGGATAGTGCGCACCCCAAGCGCAGCCGGCCACTCCGACGTGCCGTCGGTCCACAGAGGCACCGCGCCCCCACTTGCTGTGGACACCGAGACTATGACCTCCAACCGCGCCACACACGTTGTCCCAGTTTGTTGTGCCCTCTCCCAGGGCTCTGGGGAGCCACAGTCCCCTCCGTCCCAGCCCCTCACTCCAGCCCGCTGCCAGTTCCTTGGGGATCTGGCGTGCGCGGGACTTTATCCTCAGCTAGATATCCTGGGACGCGACCTTCACAGACTTCTCCAGACCTCTGGCCCAAGAGAGCGCAGACCCTCGCCAGCTCCGGGGGAGTAGGGGGTGGGGAACCAAGCAGGCCTATCTAGAGGCTTCAGGGACAGTAGAGCCCCGCTGCGCCAGCATCTGAGCCGGGGAAGAAGCAGGCAGCAAAACAAGGGCTCCCGAGAAGCCAGCCCCTCTGCCATACCCCGGGACCGTGCGCCAGTTACGGCGGCGAATCTGAGCCCCGGAAAAGAGGGGCGCAGAAGAGTGAACTTGGGGTCCCTCTTGGGGGAGCTGACTAGCAGGGTCCCATGAGAGAGCGCCGCTGCGCCTTGGTCCACTGACAGCCGTCATGTGCTGCTCCTGATTCCAGTGTCCCGTGCGCAGCACCTGCGTCTCCACTGCCGGGGCTGGCGGCCCGGTCGGGTGCTCCGCACGTGCCGTTGGGGCCCCTCACGCTCTCCGGCCTTCTGTAGACCGAGGGCGGGGGAAGTTGGGGTCGTTGTCTAGGACTTGGGGTCCTGCGGGGGGGGGTCCTTGCCCTTCCTACAGAACGGAGTTCGAGGCCTGCTCTCGGACCCAGCAGGAGCCAGCCTCGCATCCCTCCCAGATGCGGGACCTTACCTCACTCCCCGCTGAGGGTGGCGCGTGGTGCTGAGTTCAAGTGGTGAGATTCCGAGGTCGGATTCGAAAGGGGAACTTTATAGTTTGAAGGAGGGGAGGGGGGTGCTGGGGGCGGGGCGGCCTGGCTCCGCCCGGAGGCGCAGTGGGGGCCGGACTGGCTAGCGATGAGGCGCAGCCGCCCGCTCTGGAGACGGCTGGGACCCTCCTTCCGTTGGGGACGGCGGCCGAGGCGCCTTTACAGAGACGGGACAAGCGGCGAGCTGATCTCTGCCCAGAAACTACCCGGAAGGCGCTTAAGTTTAATCAAGGCCAAGAGTAGTGAGCCGCGTGCCCAGGGCGGGAAGTGGGGGGCGGGGTGCAGGAGCGGAAATGTTTCTCCCAGGGGCTGGAGTTTGCAAACTGCTTCTGCTGAGTACCGTCAGGGGGGACAAGAAATGCTCCTATGCAAGAGAGAGAGGAGAGAGAGAGAGAGAGAGAGCTCGCGTGTCCGTGTGTGTGTGTGTGTGAGTGTGTGTGTGTGTGTGTGTGTGTGGGTGTGTGAGTGGGCAAGACTGGGGGACACTTAGCGCACTCTAGTCCCCTCAGAGCCACATCACACTCTTTGAAAAGCAAAAGGAGATGGCCCAAGTCCCTTGATCTTGTAAACTGTGGCGCAAATGCAGTGCAGACATGTTTAGAAATGCTCTACTTTCTTTTGCAGCTTAAACTGGTCAATTGAAGTGAGTCTGGCAAAGCTTAGCTCCTCCTTTCCCCAAAATTCAATTATGGACCCAAGGAAGAGCTGGGAGAAGTCCCCAGATGTTCATCCATGCGCTCAATGGGCTCCGCCAACTTCAGTTCACCTTAACGCGACAGAAAGCAGTTTGTTATTGGAGGAAAATGTCAAGTATAGTACGAATATTTCGTTTCCTAAAATACTCTTAATAAAAAATTAACTCCCCATCATGGCCAGGTGAACTTTCACCTTATGTTACTCATTCAAGGGTCGGTCGTGCAAGCAGATCTTGGATAGCTGAGTGTGTTTACTTAGAATTTTCAAGTAAACTTGTCAGATCATGGGTTCCCACAAGATTTTAGACCCCTCCAGCACTCCAGGTCAACAACTTTTGAAAAGCTTTTGAATTCCTTTATTTCCCTATGTTTCTTTCTATCTTTTTTTTTTAATATCTTTTAAAGTGGAGTCTGTATTTCTTCCCCAAGAACCTGGTTTATGAAAGAAAAAAGGCAGGAGACAGAGAAAGAGGGCTTTTCCTAAAACGAATGGACTTTCTCAGAAGTCAACAGGATGCTGTATTTGTATTTCACCCAAGTAAATTTTCCACTATCAGAGACTATGCAGTAAATAACACAGTGTTGTTCAAAGAAAATTGTAGCCACAACCTGTTTTTCTTTCTTTTCCTTCTGAGGATTCATTCCTTCCACAACACTTGTTGAGCACCTTCAACTACTGGTCAGGAAGTGTGCTAGGAACTTGGGGCAGAGAGGTTCCTGACTTAAAAAGGAATTGCTCTTTTACAAAACGTTTGTAAACATCTCAGACAGAAGGGAACTGCTAAGCTACAAGGCAGCACATTAGAGCCTCCTTCGCTCATATATGTGCTCGACACAAAGTGTGTCATCTTTCACATCTTGCCACTCATCCACACCCCTGAGCCCACCAGTCATCAGAAGGAATGGAGACTGCACGTGTCTGCCTACGTTGTATTGCTAATCTTCAACGCCATCTTCTGGTTCACTCACTTGTCATGTGGATTCAGAAGGAATCATTTTTTTAATCTTTTATATTAGGAGCTATAAACAATAAAACACTGTAACCACTAAAAAACCCCTTTTGGTGGCTTCATACCCCTGAAGTGGGGGGCGGGAGACAGGGGGCGGGAAAGAAGTGATCAGGTAGATAATACCAATTGCTCATCAAAGCACATTTAAATCAGAAACTAAAGAGAGAGAGAGAAAGAAAAGCTGCAACTGCCTTCAGACACACATCCAGACTTGATAAAGTCCACATATTCCTCAATGAACGACTATGCATATATTTCTCTTCATATGGTATAACTTACTGGAGAGTGAAAATGGGAGATCTGCCCATTGTGTGTGTCCTCCGAACACAAGCAGGAGGATCTTCCAGTGACCCGCCCAGACAGTGCAGCTGTCTGGCGGTGGAGCCCCATCTGAACAGAGAATTTCCATTTCCAGTTCACATTTGTCATAAACAGACTAACAACCAAAAAAAAAAGGTGAATTGACCTAAAATCAATCTTTTTTTTCCCCTTTTTTTTTTTATTACTACTAAATTTTATTAGTTTCAATGAGCACTCACAGGGATTCCGGGCTTTCACTCCTTCATTGCCGCACCATTCTCTCCACCCTCCTCCCCAGTTTGTTCTTCTTCCCCGCCATCTGAATGTCTGTTTTAATTGTCCAATTGCCACAGTGCTTGTCAAAGTCAGTTCTGATTAATCTCCTTTGTCGGTGTGTCCTTTGCCATTCCCTATCACTGCTCCCTGAGAGAGACTTCACCCTGATTCATAAGGAAAAGGGGATGGCGTATTCTCTTAGCTACTTCCTGCTGAAAAGGGACGCTGTGGGTTTCAGGGTGAAGATCTTCTCTCACTATTCTAAAGGGCCCCTTTGGCAGTAGGAAACACATAGACTATGTTTTCAAACTCTGACAGTGGTCTCCTGAGGATGGCTCAGGTTAGAGCAAAGATCAGATCTGTTGTTCACAGGGTCACTATGAGTTGTGGTCAACTCTGTGGCACCTATCAACAGCATACGTTCTTATGAATGAAAATAGTATTAATTTCTCAACTTTTTGTTGAGTATCATCAAGTTGTAACTGACCCTCAAATGGGATTTCAGAGGCAGTTTAATCACAAGGAAGAAGACTGTCCATCTTTCTCCCATGAAACAGTTGGTGGAATAGAACCTTAGAGCTTTGTGCTGGCAGCACAATTCATTACGAGTAACCCTTCAGAGCTTCCTTTATTGTTGCTTATTGTTTTCTTTTTGTGACCCATGGCTAGCTCTCCATCAATTATTCAGAGGTAGTAAATTCCAGGTGAGTAGATTGTGCATCTTTCTCCCGTGGAGCAGCTGATGGATTCAAACCATTTGCCATAGTGAAGGCAGTGAAGCTTATTACCACTAGGTCACTAAAGCTCCCTAGAACAGCTTTTTTGTTGTTAGATATCATCAAGTCTATTGATGGAATCGGTACTCAGCAACCCTCTTTTCTGTTCTGCTTTGCTCTTGCTTGGTAGTCACTATGTCAGTTCATCTCATTGAAGGTCTATATGAAGAAGAATGTGGCAGCATGATAAGAAGACTCAACAACAACCTGTGTTATGTAGATTACTCAGCCTTGTTTGCAGAAAGTGAAGAATCCCTGAAACCCTTACTGCAGAAGATAAAAGACTACAACCTTCAACAAGGGTTCCATCTTAACATCAAGAAAATGCCTCATTAATTCAGTCTTGAAAAGGGAAAAGAACTGAAATTTGTTAAAAGTGTTAAAATGATATTGTTGAAAAAGATGAAAGTGTTTTATTCACTTACATTAGAAAAATGCTAACATTTTGTTGTTATCATGTAGTTTGTATAGTGTGAATATGTAATCTGATACTCTGGCTATATGTGTATACAATGCTAATTACCACCATTGATCAGAACATGTTTGTATGGCAGGGAAGTGCTTTTGTTAGTAATGAAATGCAGAACAAATAGAAAATGAACACTTAGTTATTGGAATAGATGAAGGAAAGAACTGTTTAAAAGGAATATATGATTAGTCATTAAATGTAAAACAAGAGTCCAGAATAAAAGGTACATCGTAAAGAGGACCGGGGGAGTAGGAAAGAATGGAGAGAGAGGAAATTGAATGAATATTTTTAAAAAAGAAAAGGAAAGTGGACTGGGGGAGGGGGAGTAGAGGAGGAGGGAGGAAAAATGTGCAACAATGAATGAATGCAAATCCAGT